CCCCAAAATCCCCAATTTCCCCCCAAAATCCCCAAATTTCCCCCCAAAATCCCCAATTTCCCCCCAAAATCCCCAAATTTCCCCCCAAAATCCCCAATTTCCCCCAAAATCTCCCAAAGTTACCCCAGAATTCCAGAAAATCCCCCCAAAATCCTCCAAATTTACCCCCAAATTTACCCCAAATCCCCCAAAAACCCCCCCCCGACCCCCCCAAACTAACCCCAAAACCCCCCAAAATCCCCAAAATTCCCCCAAATCCCCCCAAAATCCCCCAAATCCCCCAAATCCCCCCAAAACCCCCCAAATCCCCCCCAAATCCCCCAAATCCCCCCAAAATCCCCCAATTTCCCCCCAAAATCCCCAAATTCCCCCCAAAATCCCCAATTCCCCCCAAATTTACCCCAAATCCCCAAAATCCCCTGAATTTTCCCCAAAACGGGGCCCGCAGCGGGTTCTGGACGTGGGGCTGGCCCAGGAGGCGTCGCTGGATTTGGGGGCGCTGGGCCCCAACGTCTCCCTGCGGGTGGCGCCCTACACCGGGGGGGGGCAGGGGCCCTGGAGCCCCCCCCTGCTGCTGCCGCCCCCCCGTGAGTCACCCCAAAATCCCAAAATCACCCCAAAAAAAACCCCGACCCCGAAAACCCCAAAAAACCCGAAATTCCATTGTTCTGTACCCCAGAAACCCCAAAAATCCCCAATTCTGCTCCCCAAAAATCCCCAATTCTGCTCCCCAAAATCCCCAATTCTGTCCCCAAAATCCCCCCCTGCTGCTGCCGCCCCCCCGTGAGTCACCCCGAAACCCCAAAATCACCCCAAAAAAAAACCCGACCCCGAAAACCCCAAAAAACCCGAAATTCCATCGTTCTGTAGCCCAAAAAACCCAAAATCCCCAATTCTGCTCCCCAAAATCCCCAATTCTGTCCCCAAAATCACCCCAAAAAAAACCCCGACCCCGAAAACCCCAAAAAACCCGAAATTCCCACCGTTCTGTACCCCAAAAAACCCAAAATCCCCAATTCTGTCCCCAAAAATATCCAATTCTGCTCCCCAAAATCCCCAATTCTGTCCCCAACATCTCCCCCCCGCCACCCCCACGTGAGTCACCCCAAAATCCCAAAATCACCCCAAAAAAAACCCGACCCCAAAAACCCCAAAAACCCCGAAATTCCCATCGTTCTGTACCCCAAAAAACCCAAAATCCCCAATTCTGCTCCCCAAAATCCCCAATTCTGCTCCCTAAAAATATCCAATTCTGCTCCCCAAAAATCCCGAATTCTGTCCCCAAAAATCCCCCCTGGTGCTGCCCCATGAGTGACCCCGAAACCCCAAAATCACCCCAAAAAAACCCCGACCCCAAAAACCCAAAAAAAACCCGAAATTCCCACCGTTCTGTACCCCAAAAAACCCAAAATCCCCAATTCTGACCCCAAAATCCCTCCCTGCTGCTGCCGCCCCCCCGTGAGTCACCCCAAAATCCCAAAATCACCCCAAAATCACCCCAAAAAAAACCCGACCCCGAAAACCCCAAAAGCCCCGAAATTCCCACCGTTCTGTACCCCAAAAAACCCAAAATCCCCAATTCTGTTCCCCAAAATCTTCAATTCTGCTCCCCAAAATCCCCAATTCTGCTCCCTAAAAATATCCAATTCTGCTCCCCAAAAATCCCCAATTCTGTCCCCAACATCTCCCCCCTGCCGCCGCCCCGTGAGTCACCCCGAAATCCCCCAAAATCACCCCAAAAAAAACCCCGACCCCAAAAACCCCAAAAAAAAACGAAATTCCCACTGTTCTGTACCCCAAAAAACCCAAAATCCCCAATTCTGTCCCCAAAATCACCCCAAAAAAAACCCGACCCCGAAAACCCCAAAAAAAACCGAAATTCCCACTGTTCTGTACTCCAAAAAACCCAAAATCCCCAATTCTGTCCCCAAAAACCCCAATTCTGTCCCCAACATCTCCCCCTGCCACCCCCACGTGAGTCACCCCAAAATCCCAAAATCACCCCAAAAAAAACCCGACCCCGAAAACCCCAAAAACCCCGAAATTCCATCGTTCTGTACCCCAAAAAACCCAAAATCCCCAATTCTGTCCCCAAAATCCTCAATTCTGTCCCCAAAAATCCCCCCTGGTGCCCTGTCATGAGTCATCCCAAAATCCCCCAAAGTCACCCCAAAAAAAACCCGACACCAAAAACCCCAAAAACCCCGAAATTCCCACCATTATTTACCCCAAAATCCCCAAAAATCCCCAATTCTGTCCCCAAAATCCCCAATTCTGCTACCAAAACCCTGGCCCTGCACCCCAAATGTCCCAAAATGTCCCCAAATCCCCCCATTGTCCCCAATTGTCCCCAATTGTCTCCAATTGTCCCCAAATGTCCCCACAGCTGCCGAGGTGCCGCTGGAGACGCAGCTGGGTGAGGAGGAGGAGGAGGGGAGGAAGGACGGGGGGAGGATGATGAGGGGGGGATGGGTGGGATGAAGATGAGGAGGATGATGAGGATGGGATGGGATGGGGTGGGATGGGATGGGATGGGATGGGATGAAGATGATGAGGATGAGGATGGGATGAAGATGAGGATGGATGGGATGGGATGAGGATGGATGGGGTGGGATGGATGGGATGGGATGAAGATGATGAGGATGGGATGGATGGGGTGGGATGAAGATGAAGATGAGGAGGATGGGATGAGGATGATGAGGATGAGGATGGGATGAAGATGATGAGGATGGGATGGGATGGGATGAAGATGATGAGGATGGATGGGATGAGGATGATGAGGATGGGATGGGATGAGGATGATGAGGATGGGATGGGATGGGATGAAGATGAAGATGATGGATGGGATGAGGATGATGAGGATGGGATGGGATGGATGGGGTGGGATGAAAATGATGGTGAGGGTGATGCTGATGATGACAATGCCGATGATGATGATGGTGATGCCGATGACAATGATGATGACGATGATGATGATGACGACACCAATGACGAAGATGCCAACGATGACAATGCCAATGACCATGACCATGACGATGATGATGACAATGACGATGACAATGATGACGATGACAAATGATGATGACGATGATGATGACGACACCAATGACAAAGATGCCAACGATGACAATGACAATGACAATGACCATGACGATGATGATGCCAATGACGATGACAACGATGACGATGACAAATGATGATGACGATGATGACGATGACATTGCCGATGACCATGAGGATGACAATACTGATGATGACGATGCCAATGACAATGATGACAATGGTGACAATGGTGACAATGACGCCGCCGCCCATACAAAGACGCCGACGATGACGATGACGATGAAGATGATGACAGTGACGATGATGACGATGATGACGATGACGACGATAATGACAATGACGAAGATGACGATAATGCCAATGACGATGACAATGACGATGAAGATGATGACAGTGACGATGATGGCAATGACGATGACAATGATGCTGATGCCAAAGACGCCGACGATGACGATGACGACGATGATGATGATGACAGTGACGATGATGACGATGATGACGATGACGACGATGATGACAATGACGATGGTGACCATGCCAATGACGATGACAATGACGATGACGATGACGATGATGCCGACACCAATGACAATGACAATAACAATGACAGTGATGACGATGACGATGACAATGACCATGATGCCAATGCCAATGACGATGCCAATGACAATGACGATGAAGATGACAATGATGATGACGATGAAGATGACAATGATGACAATGACGATGACAATGATGACAATGACAATGATGACGATGAAGATGAGCCTTCCTCCCTCCGCAGTGCGGCCGCCGCTGGTGGCCGGCGCCGGGTGGCCGCTGCTGGTGGCCCTGGTGGCCCTGGGGACGCTGGTCCTGGTGGCCCTGGTGGCCCTGGTGGCCCTGGCAGCGCGGAGACGCCACAAAGAGACGCGCTACGGGTGAGGGGACGGCGATGGCACCCGTGTCACCTTGTGTCACGCATGTGTCATGTGTGTGTCATCCGTGTCACCTGTATGTCACCTCAATGTCACCTCAGTGTCACCTCTGTCATCTGTCACCTGTGTCACCTGTGTCACCTGTGTCACCTCCGTGTCTCCTGTACCACCTCAGTGTCACCTCTGTCACCGGTGCCTCTGCTGGTGACCACGTGGCCATGGTGACCACAATGGCCGTGGTGGCCGTGGTGGCCATGGTGACCCCAGTGACCATGTTGGCCATGGTGACCATGTTGGCCGCAGTGACCATGTTGGCCATGGTGGCCGTGGCGGCCGCAGTGTCCTGTTGGTGGCCATGGTGACCACGGTGCCATGGCAATGCTGTGGCGATGACCATGCTGGCTGTGGTGGCCATGATGGCCATGGTGACCACGGTGACCACGATGGCCATGGTGGCCATGGCGCCATGGCAATGCCGTGGGTGGTGGCCATGGTGGCTGTGGTGACCACGGTGACCACATGGCCGTGGTGGCCGTGGTGACCACATGGCCATGGTGGCCATAGTGACCATGGTGGCTGTGGTGATCACCATGACCATGTTGACTGTGGTGGCCACGGTGCCATGGCAATGCTGTGGTGGTGACCATGCTGGCTGTGGTGGCCATCATGGCCATGGTGACCATGGTGACCACGATGGCCATGGTGACCACGATGGCCATGGTGACCATGGCGCCATGGCAATGCTGTGGGTGGTGGCCATGGTGGCCATGGTGGCTGTGGTGACCATGGTGCCCCTGGTGGCCTGGGTGTCCCTGGTGACCACAGTGACCATGGTGAACACTATGACCATGGTGGCCACGGTGCCCCTGGTGACCCTGGTGGCCGTGGTGACCACGGTGACAATGTTGGCCTTGGTGACCACGGTGGCCATGGTGACCCTGGTGACCCTGATGTCCCCGCTGTCCCAGGGCCGCCTTCTCTCCGGCCGTTCGCTTCCGCGCCCGCAGCTCCTACGGCCGCGGCACGGCGCAGAGCACGCGTGAGTGACGGCGCGGGACAGCGGTGGCACCTTGGTGGCACCTTGGTGGCACCTTGGTGGCACCCATGTCATCTGTGTGTCACCGGTGTCACCTGTGTCATCCAATGTCCCCAATGTCCCCAATGTCCCCAATGTCCCCCCAATGTCCCCGATGTCCCCAATGTCCCCAATCCCCCCAATGTCCCGTGCTGTCCCGTGCTGTCCCGTGCTGTCCCGTGCTCTCCCCATGATGTCCCCATGCTGTCCCCAATGTCCCCATGCTGTCCCGTGCTGTCCCCAATGTCCCGTGCTGTCCCCGTGCTCTCCCCATGATGTCCCCGTGCTGTCCCCAATGTCCCCGTGCTGTCCCCAAAGTCCCCGTGCTGTCCCGTGCTGTCCCATGATGTCCCCATGCTCTCCCCATGATGTCCCCGTGCTGTCCCCAATGTCCCGTGCTGTCCCGTGCTGTCCCATGATGTCCCCGTGCTGTCCCCATGATGTCCCCGTGCTGTCCCGTGCTGTCCCCATGCTGTCCCCAATGTCCCCATGCTGTCCCCAATGTCCCCATGCTGTCCCCAATGTCCCGTGCTGTCCCGTGCTGTCCCGTGCTGTCCCCAATGTCCCGTGCTGTCCCGTGCTGTCCCGTGCTGTCCCCAATGTTCCCGTGCTGTCCCCGTGCTGTCCCCGTGCTGTCCCCATGCTCTCCCCATGCTCTCCCCATGCTCTCCCCATGATGTCCCGTGCTGTCCCGTGCTGTCCCCAATGTCCCCATGCTGTCCCGTGCTGTCCCCAATGTCCCGTGCTGTCCCGTGCTCTCCCCATGATGTCCCCATGCTCTCCCCATGATGTCCCCATGCTGTCCCCAATGTCCCGTGCTGTCCTGTGCTGTCCCGTGCTGTCCCGTGCTCTCCCCATGCTGTCCCGTGCTGTCCCGTGCTGTCCCCATGATGTCCCCATGCTCTCCCCATGATGTCCCGTGCTGTCCCGTGCTGTCCCGTGCTGTCCCGTGCTGTCCCCGTGCTCTCCCCATGATGTCCCCATGATGTCCCCATGCTCTCCCCATGATGTCCCGTGCTGTCCCTGTCCCAGTTCGCTCTCTGGGTCTCAGTGAGGTTCTCCAGGAGCAGCTCCAGGAGGTTTTGGTCGAGCGGCGCCGGGTGGTGCTGGGCAAGGCCCTGGGCCAGGGTGGGTCCCCAAAATCCCCAAAATCCCCTAAAATCACCCAAAATCCCCCAAAATCACCCAAAATCCCCCAAAATCCCCTAAAATCACCCAAAATCCCCAAAATCACCCAAAATCCCCCAAAATCCCCCCAAATCCCCCAAAAT